AGGCCTACACATTGCTCTTTGTATTGTTGTAAAATAAATTCATGAAAAACAAATAATATATTTATATATAAATATATACTATAGTACTCAACATTTGAAGTGGATCAAAACCTTTCATCAAAGTTGTCCTAAAACCAAAACAATACCCGTTCTTGTCTTAGGACAAATTTGATCAACTTTTTTGATCCACTTCAAATGTTGACTACTGTATTAAAAATAAAAGTAATTAAAAAAATAAATTTTTATACATAATTTGTACCAAAATAGGCTTCATTTTCTTAACTCTCACTCTCTCTCAGTCTATATATATGGATGTATATATATACACACACGTCCATGTCATTTTCATCCCAAAATCACAACAAAGAAATATTGTTGTTGTTGTTATTATTAATACATTATATTTTGCTTATATAAAATGCAGCATGGCAGCAACATATGATAGAGAAGACGAACAAGAAATGCTATTTATAATCTTTCATTGCGCAAAAGTATTATGATACTTAATGCTACAAATACAGAGCAGCTCAAAGCGCTTATGCGCATCCTGTGTGCAGAATGATGTGCTTGAAGCAACATGGAGTCACAGTGCGCAGCATAGAGAAGTTCAAAGCACAAAGTGAAGAGATATTGATGCGTAGTGTATTAAATATGTGCGTTAGTTTATTGAGCCTTTTCTTTTAACAGTTTTAAATTTCAGTTACTGTGCTTGTGACGAACAATTCATAGTGCTCTCTACTCCAGTCTTGTGATCTAACCAGATATCCGGTAGAAATTTACACGATTTAGAAACAGCACGAAACTCCAGCAAGATAAATTCCTTTTATGCAAAACCATTTATCTTTATTTACAGATCAAGTATAACATTAGGAACATTTAATCATCTTGGAGAGAGTTTCATCGTCTTGACTGTCATAACCGAACGTGACACACAGTTTGAATGCTGAATGGAGGATGACAGACAGCCGTTGCGGAGAGAAGAGTTTACGTGAACTTGACTTAAATATTTATCTGTACCTCACATTAAACTATGGAAAAGCTTCAGAACACTTGAAATATAGTGCACGAAAACTTTATGGTGCTTTATAATGTTTTTGTGGCTTTCGTGGGGCTTAATAATAACACCGAATAGTATATGCACTATTTCTGATTTGGATCGGTCTCGTCTGACCGATACCCTGATCCAGCAGAAAATGCCAGTAATGGAGCGATACCGATACTGAATATCGGATCGGCGCACCCCTAATCTAAATCTGCGGTAAAGGCCAGTTTTAATTGTATTTGTAATTTCAATTCTTCTCTCTCCTCTTAATTAATTTTATTATCTGGCTTGTCCCTTTAAGTGTTGAAGTTTTCACATGCCACTTGTAGGAAATCAGTTTAGTCAGGTTGTGCTGTGCCTGTGCTTATCAGCTTTCAATTCCTTTGACTTGTCCATTTTTCTACCCCTCATTTTTTTATGTCGCGCACAGTGTTTTAATGGTCAATCACTGATGTCATTGACACTATGGTACTTGGGCCCTGTGCTGTAACAAGTTTGATTTGAATAGATTCCATGTTTAATGTTTAATTTGATTAGAGATTTAATTGTTTGAGTACAATTCTTTAATAACAGTAATTCTCCTATTCACTTTATTAATGGTTTAGAGCTCCATCTAGTGGCAAGTTTGATGTTACTTTTAATTGCGATTGCTGGTGTTCATGTGAATCAGGAAGTAGTGAGTGCTCCATGCGGGCAGCGGTAACGATGGCTCTCTTTAATCGCCGTATATTTCTGTGATCTGTAACCTTGCAACAGCATCGCTTGTAAGTATTTATTTGATTTACATTAATGTTCATTATACCTGTATATAAATGTAAACTGTTAAGGTTAAAGTTAATTATTTGTCATTTTCACTGAGCTATTGCATTGGCCACATTCTACTTTAGCGTCCTATCGCTGTATTGTGTATTTACATAAGAAAAGGCCGTGTGTATTTCCAAGCATCACAGCATATTATATCAATGTGAATGTTATTTTGCTTCTGTAGTTTTGTTAATTTCTGGACATTATTATTTAATGTGTACATTTGTTTATTTGTAGTTTCACTCCATACCCAAGACCATTAAACCTGTGGGCAAACGAACTTCTTGTCTTCAGAGTCGTGTGAGGGAAGGGAGTTTATCTGACTGTCAAAACAAAACTAAAGCTATGTTAAGGACAGTACAGTAAATAACAAAACTAAATTTACAATTTAAAACAAGCCCCAAATCAAATAAATAAGTAACACAAATAAAAGAAATCTCTTCATATAAACAAACTAAGGCTTTGTCTGTGCTCTTTCCATTTAAAATTAGAGGCAACCACTGCATTTTAATCATGATCCAAACAAAGATGCTGCATACATGCAACATCAAGTCAAGTCAAGTCACCTTTATTTATATAGCGCTTTTAACAATACAGATTGTGTCAAAGCAACTGAACAGCATTAATTAGGAAAA